GTATGTGAGCAAGAGTTTCGGTGTGTAAGTACGGGATTCGTGTATGTGAGCAAGAGTTTCGGTGTGTAAGTACGGGATTCGTGTATGAAAACATGGGGTGCTTGTAGGCTACAATGTGGTTTTTCTGTTGAATCGTTGTCCAAACTACCTGATGAGACTGATCCTGACATCCGCCCCCTCGCCGCCCCATCCCACAGAAGACCTTTAGCGCAGAGAGCTACCTCAACAACCTCAGGCTGGCCCTGGACTACCTCCACCAGCACGTGCCGCGAGCCTTCGTCAACCTGGTGGAGCTGTTGCCGGTAGAGTCTGTCCGCAACCTGGGCGACAACCTCCTCTGTAAGACAGTCCACTCGTGAGTACCTGTGTGGGTGGGTGGGTGGGTGTGTGTGTGTGCGTGTGTGGGTGGATGAGAGTGTGTGTGTGTGTGTCTGCCTGTGTGGGTGGGTGGGTGGATGTGTGTGTGTGTGTGTGTTTGTGACAACAGTTTATGTGTCCCCCACACAACAGGACGCTTGTCTCACCCCCCCCCCTTCCCCCCAACACACACACACACACTCACAACAGTATACATTCAGCTGCAAAAGACAGTTATATAAAGGCACCAAAGTTAGGTTACCTGTAGTCCTGTCTAGGTTGGGAATAAGGGCTAAAACTCATGTCTAGATTGGGAATAAGGGCTATAACTCATGTCTAGGTTGGGAATAAGGGCTATAACTCATGTCTAGATTGGGAATAAGGGCTATAACTCATGTCTAGATTGGGAATAAGGGCTATAACTCATGTCTAGATTGGGAATAAGGGCTATAACTCATGTAGCTGTCAGCTGGAGCCGCAAAACCATGGTACCCCTTGAGTTGGCCGCGGTTGTAAACAGGCTGAGAAACACTGGCTTATTCTATAGTCTTGTTTACAGTCTAAGTGACAATCTAGTTTATAGTCTAGTCTACAGACGTCTAGATACAACTTAGTACTATTAGACTATTCTTACTTACTTATAATTTCTTACGTCCTTCTTAGGACGTTATTTTTTGTTATTTGAAGCCCCACTCTGGCTTTTGCCAGGGGCCGCAATATAGGCAGGTCATCATTATGGCCAAATGTCTGAACGCGGTTTCTGGGACCTCTCCACGGTGATCCTCATCCGCATGGTGGCACTTTGTGTCATCGGGTGTTTATCGCTTGTGTGATGTCCTGGTGGGGTAAAAAAGCCAAGCCAAGCCTAACCTTACGTCCTTTTTAGGACGTAATTTTTTGTTATTTGAAGCCCCACTCTGGCACGCCATAAATATGGCCATTGTCTGAACGCTGTTTCTGGGACCTCTCCACGGTGATCCTCATCCACATGGTGGCACTTTGTGTCATCGGGTGTTTATCGCTTGTGTGATGTCCTAGTGGGGTAGAAAGTCAGTCAGTCAGTTAGATATAACATACAGTCTTAGTAAAAAGCTAGTCTATACTATACAGTCTATGTGACAGCCCAGTCTCTAGTCTACATATATCTAGATATTCTACGCAGTCTAAACGACATTCTTGTCTATACACTAGTCTGCAGACATCTAGATATCCCATACAGTCTACGTGACAGCCTAGTCTAGTCTACTGGCATCTATATGTACCATACAATCTTAGTGACAGTATATTCTAAACAAGTACCATACAGTCTACAGACATCTAGATGTACCGTATATTCTAAATGAGAGTCTAGTATATAGTCTAGTCTACAGACATCTAGATCTACCACACAGTCTAAGTGACGGTATAGTCTAAAGTCTAGTCTACCGACATCTAGATCTACCACACAGTCTAAGTGACAGTCCAGTCATTAGTCTAGTCTTCAGATATCTAGATCTACCACACAGTCTAAGTGACAGTCCAGTCTAAAGTCTAGTCTACCGACATCTAAAATACTATACAGTCTACAGACATCTAGATGTACCATATATTCTAAATGAGAGTCTAGTCTATAGTCTAGTCTACAGACATCTACCAACCAGTCAGAAGATACAATGAGACATAATAAATACAGTGGTACCTATGCACACAAACCTAATTCCTTCTTTCACCCCGTTCGTGAACACAAATTCTTTTTTTTCAAACATCTAAATAAATGCATATCCAAATAATCTGTTCACCCCCCCCCCCCCTCCCCACATGTATTTTGATAGATTTGTATGAGGCAAATGTATACCATATAAAATATATAATATAGAACACGGGAAACTTACCCTTTAGCCCATTTTCATAGTAGTCAATTAAAAGAAGCTTAACCCAAATTTGCATCCCAGTTCGACCCAGCCTTGAGTGGGTAGAAGGTTCAGACATGGGAAGTAAAGGTGGCCGGCGTGATACTGACCGCATCATCGACCAAGTGCCGAATGGTCTATAAAATATAGGTCTAGCCCTATATGCCCAATAGCCTGAAGGTAAGGTAAAGGCTCCTTCGCTTTACCTATTATTATTACTGTGTGCACAACTGAAAAAAAAAAACCATAACAATTTATTTTGAACGACATCAAATGTTTGAATAAATGTTTGAAAAAGAGCGTTTATACATGGTGGAAGACAAGAGGAGGGGGCGAGGGGGAGGGGCCGAGGGGTTGGAATGGGGGACCGAGGGAAGGGACATGGTGGAAGACAAGAGGAGGGGGCGAGGGGGAGGGGCCGAGGGGTTGGAATGGGGGATCGAGGGAAGGGGCCACGGGGGCTAGGGGGAGGGGCCGAGGGGTTGGAATGGGGGACCGAGGGAAGGGGGCCACGGGGGTGGGGGAGGGGCCTAGCGTAGGGGTTCTACTCTCTAAGATTATTGGGCCAACGTGATCAAAACGCACGAGCGCCCAGGCTTTGACTCATTTACAGGCTACGTTTGTGCCCGTGTGCAAGTTATGGCTGTGCCCATATGCAAGCTATGGCTGTGCCCATATGCAAGTTATGGCTGTGCCAATATATAAGCCATGGTTGTATACCGATGTAAGCAACGGTTGTAAACCTACAATGCAAGCTACGGTTGTGCCGCTATAAAAGCTAGGTTTGTGTGCCTATGCAAGCTATGGCTGTGCCCGTATGCAAACTATGTGTGTGCCCATACTCAAACTATGTGTGTGCCCATACTCAAACTATGTGTGTGCCCATACTCAAACTATGTGTGTGCCCATACTCAAACTATGTGTGTGCCCATACTCAAACTATGTGTGTGCCCATACTTAAACATATGTGTGCCCATGCTCAAACTATGGTTGTGCCCATACTTAAACATATGTGTGCCCATACTTAAACTATGGGTGTGCCCATACTCAAACATATGTGTGCCCATACTCAAACTATGTGTGTGCCCATACCATACTACAAACTATGTGTGTGCCCATACTTAAACTATGTGTGCCCATACTCAAACTATGGTTGTGCCCATACTCAAACTATGTGTGTGCCATACTCAAACTATGGTTGTGCCCATACTCAAACTATGGTTGTGCCCATACTCAAACTATGGTTGTGCCCATACTCAAACTATGGTTGTGCCCATACTTAAACTATGTGTGCCCATACTCAAACTATGTGTGTGCCCATACTTAAACATATGTGTGCCCATACTCAAACTATGTGTGTGCCCATACTCAAACTATGTGTGTGCCCATACTTAAACTATGTGTGTGCCCATACTTAAACATATGTGTGCCCATACTTAAACTATGTGTGCCCATACTTAAACATATGTGTGCCCATACTTAAACATATGTGTGCCCATACTTAAACTATGTGTGTGCCCATACTTAAACATATGTGTGCCCATATATATGTGTGCCCTTAAACATATGTGTGCCCATACTTAAACATATGTGTGCCCAGACTTAAACATATGTGTGCCCATACTTAAACATATGTGTACCCATACTCAAACTATGTGTGTGCCCATACTTAAACTATGTGTGTGCCCATACTTAAACTATGTGTGTGCCCATACTTAAACATATGTGTGCCCATACTTAAACTATGGTTGTGGCCATACTCAAACTATGGTTGTGCCCATACTCAAACTATGTGTGTGCCCATACTCAAACTATGTGTGTGCCCATACTCAAACTATGTGTGTGCCCATACTTAAACTATGTGTGTGCCCATACTTAAACATATGTGTGCCCATACTCAAACTATGTGTGTGCCCATTCTAAAGCTATATGTGTGCCAATTCTTAACTATGTGTGTGCCCATACTAAAACTATGTGTGTGCCCATACTAAAGCTATGTTTTGTCCATATGCACCTGTAACTGAAGGACAATGCACGACTCCCTCTAACGATGCTTCTGCTCTTCCAACCTAGGGCCGTGTGTCACTGTGTCGCCAACCCCTCCAGTGAGGAGGAGGCGCGACGTGCTGTTCGGCTAAGGGAAGAGTATCAGAAGGTGACACAGAACCTGGTGGCCTCGGGCCGATACGACACACGAGACGATTTCACAGTGGTTCTGCAGCCCTTCTACAGGAATAGTACTTTACCAACTACGGTCTGTCTGCATGTCTGTTAGTCTATATATCCACCCATCCATTCATCTATCCATCCACCCATATATACATTCATCCATGTATCCATCAATCTATCCAAGTAGCTACCGATCCATCCATCCATATATCCATTCTTTTATCCATTCATCTAGCTAAAACGTAATACCTATATCTTTACGTCTGGCTTGCCAGCTTGCTAGTTGTATGGCTCCATGTCTGTCTAGACAACTGGCTAGTTGTATGGCTCCATGTCTGTCTAGACAGCCGGCTAATTGTATGGCTCCATGTCTGTCTAGACAGCCGGCTAATTGTATGGCTCCATGTCTGTCTAGACAACTGGCTAGTTGTATGGCTCCATGTCTGTCTAGACAACTGGCTAGTTGTATGGCTCCATGTCTGTCTAGACAGCCGGCTAGTTGTATGGCTCCATGTCTGTCTAGACAGCTTGCTAGTTGTATGGCTCCATGTCTGTCTAGACAGCTTGCTAGTTGTATGGCTCCATGTCTGTCTAGACAGCCGGCTAGTTGTATGGCTCCTTGTCTGTCTAGACAGCTTGCTAGTTGTATGGCTCCATGTCTGTCTAGACAACTGGCTAGTTGTATGGCTCCATGTCTGTCTAGACAGCCGGCTAGTTGTATGGCTCCATGTCTGTCTAGACAGCCGGCTAGTTGTGTGGCTCCATGTCTGTCTAGACAGCTTGCTAGTTGTATGGCTCCATGATTGTCTAGACAACTGGCTAGTTGTATGGCTCCATGTCTGTCTAGACAGCATGCTAGTTGTATGGCTCCATGTCTGTCTAGACAGCCGGCTAGTTGTATGGCTCCATGTCTGTCTAGACAGCTTGCTAGTTGTATGGCTCCATGTCTGTCTAGACAGCTTGCTAGTTGTATGGCTCCATGTCTGTCTAGACAACTGGCTAGTTGTATGGCTCCATGTCTGTCTAGACAGCTAGTTTTATGGCTCCATGTCTGTCTAGACAACCATATAGATTTATGGCTGCATGTCCGTCTAGCCAACCATATAAATGAATGTCTGCATGTCTGTTTAGGCAACCACAAGGATGAATGTCTGCATGTCTGTTTAGGCAACCACAAGGATGAATGTTTGCATGTCTGTTTAGGCAACCACAAGGATGAATGGTTGCATGTCTATCTAGCCAACCATATAGATGAATGTCTGCATGTCTGTTTAGGCAACCACAAGGATGAATGGCTGCATGTCTGTCTGCCCAAACATATAGATGAATGTCTGCATGTCTGTTTAGTCAACCATATAGATGAATGTCTGCATGTCTGTTTAGTCAACATATAGATAAATGTCTGAGTGTCTGTCTAGCCAACCATATAGATGAGTGTCTGCGTGTCTGTTTAGGCAACCATATAGATGAATGTCTGCATGTCTGTTTAGTCAACCATATAGATGAATGTCTGCATGTCTCTTTAGTCAACATATAGATAAATGTCTGAGTGTCTGTCTAGCCAACCATATAGATGAATGTCTGCGTGTCTGTTTAGGCAACCACATAGATGAATGGTTACATGTCTGTCTAGCCAACTATGTAGCTGCATGTCTGTCTGCCCAACCATATAGATGATTGTCTGCATTTCTGTTTAGTCAACCATAAAAATGAATGTGTGCATGTCTGTTTAGCCAACCATATAGATAAATGTCTGCATGTCTGTTTAGCCAACCATATAGATAAATGTCTGCATGTCTGTCTAGCCAACCATATAGATGAATGTCTGAATTTCTGTTTAGGCAACCACAAGGATGAATGTCTGCATGTCTGTCTAGCCAACCATATAGATGAATGTCTCCATATCTGTCTAGCCAACCCTATAGATGAATGTGTGCATGTCTGTCTAGCCAACCATATAGATGAATGTCTGCATGTCTGTCTAGCCAACCATATAGATGAATGTCTGCATGTCTGTCTAGCCAACCATATAGATGAATGTCTGCATGTCTGTCTAGCCAAACATATAGTTGAATGGTTGCATGTCTGTCTAGCCAACCATATAGATGAATATCTCCATGTCTGTTTATGCAACCACAAGGATGAATGTCTGCATGTTTGTCTAGCCAACCATATAGATGAATGGTTGCATGTCTGTCTAGCCAACCATATAGATGAATGGTTGCATGTCTGTCTAGCCAACCATATAGATGAATGTCTGCATGTCTGTCTAGCCAACCATATAGATAAATAACTGCATGTCTGTCTAGCCAACCATATAGATGAATGTCTCCATGTTTGTCTAGCCAACCATATAGATGAATGTCTGCATGTCTGTCTAGCCAACCATATAGATGAATGTCTGCATGTCTGTCTAGCCAACCATATAGATGAATGTCTCCATGTCTGTTTATGCAACCACAAGGATGAATGTCTGCATGTTTGTCTAGCCAACCATATAGATGAATGGTTGCATGTCTGTCTAGCCAACCATATAGATGAATGTCTGCATGTCTGTCTAGCCAACCATATAGATGAAATGTCTGCATGTCTGTCTAGCCAACCATATAGATGAATGGTTGCATGTCTGTCTAGCCAACCATATAGATGAAATGTCTGCATGTCTTTCTAGCCAACCATATAGATGAATGTCTGCATGTCTGTCTAGCCAACCATATAGATGAATGGCTGCATGTCCGTTTAGTCAGCCATGTAGTTGTATGGCTGCTAGTGCAGTTACCCATGTGTATGTATACACATTTGTGTATCAGTCTTTAGCTGAATCATTTACACGACGTGATATAATTTGTGCCTGTTTGTGGCACACCAGTGAAAGGTAATTTTTTGAAAAGGCTGAATGTGAAAGGTAATTGTTTGACTGGGCTGAATGTAAAAGGTAATTGCTTGAAAGGGATGAATATGAAAGGTAAATGTTTGAAGGGCTGAATGTGAAAGGTGATTGTTTGAAAGGGCTGAATGTGAAAGGTAATTGTTTGAAAGGGCTGAATGTGAAAGGTAATTGTTTGGAAGGGCTGAATGTGAAAGGTATTTGTTTGAAAGGGCTGAATGTGAAAGGTAATTGTTTGGAAGGGCTGAATGTGAAAGGTAATTGTTTGGAAGGGCTGAATGTGAAAGGTATTTGTTTGAAAGGGCTGAATGTGAAAGGTAATTGTTTGGAAGGGCTGAATGTGAAAGGTAATTGTTTGGAAGGGCTGAATGTGAAAGGTAATTGTTTGAAAGGGCTGAATGTGAAAGGTAATTGTTTGGAAGGGCTGAATGTGAAAGGTAATTGTTTGGAAGGGCTGAATGTGAAAGGTAATTGTTTGAAAGGGCTGAATGTGAAAGGTAATTGTTTGGAAGGGCTCAATGTAGAAGGTGATCGTTTGGAAGGGCTGAATGTAAAATTCGTTTCTTCTCCCTATTGGTCAACAACATTGGCATATTTATTGTGTCTGTCTATCATTCTTCATATTTAAATATCATGCAGTCCAGTCTTTCAGCCCGACCTAACAATATGTCTGTGTGTCTGTCTTTGCGTGTCTCCCTGTCAGTTAGCCCACCTGTATATAAGTTTGTCTCTCTATCTCTTTATCTCTCTGCTTCTCTCTTTTTCTCTCACACACTCTGTGTGTGTGTGTTTTTGTATGTGACGACTCACTGATACAATTTATATGTATCCCCTACGGTCGACATCTGTCTACGTTTCTGTCATTCCGTCTATGTGTCTACCTGTCCGCCCCGATGTCCCATCTGTGTACCTGTCTGTCCTCTCGCCCATGTGTCTACCTGTCTGTTTTCTCGCCCACGTGTCTACCTATCTTTCCTCTCGCCCACGTGTCTAATTGTCTGTCCTCTCGCCCACGTGTCTACCTGTCTGTCCATCCGTCCATCTATCTGCCTGTCTACCCCCCTCCCCCCGTCCATCTATCTGCCTGTCTTCCCCCTGTCCATCTATCTCCTGTCTTCCCCCAGTCCATCTATCTGCCTGTCTCCCCCCCCCCGTCCATCTATCTGCCTGTCTCCCCCCCCCCGTCCATCTATCTGCCTGTCTTCCCCCCCCCCCCCCGTCCATCTATCTGCCTGTCTCCTCCCCCCCCCCGTCCATCAGTCTACCTGTCTTCCCCCCGTCCATCAGTCTACCTGTCTTCCCCCCGTCCATCTATCTGCCTGTCTTCCCCCCGTCCATCTATCTCCTGTCTTCCCCCCGTCCATCTATCTGCCTGTCTCCCCCCCCCCCGTCCATCTATCTGCCAGTCTCCCCCCCCCCCCCGTCCATCTATCTGCCTGTCTTCTTCCCCCCCCCCCCGTCCATCTATCTGCCTGTCTTCCCACCCCCGTCCATCTATCTACCTGTCTCCCTCCCCCGTCCATCTGTCTGCCTATCTCCCCCCCCCCCGTCCATCTATCTGCCTGTCTCCCCCCCCCCGGTCCATCTATCTGCCTGTCTCCCCCCCCCCCCGTCCATCTATCTACCTGTCTTCCCCCCCCCCGTCCATCTATCTACCTGTCTTTCCCCCGTCCATCTGTCTACCTGTCTGCCCCCCCCCCCCCCCCGTCCATCTATCTGCCTGTCTTCCCCCCGTCTATCTATCTGACTGTCTTCCCCCCGTCTATCTATCTGCCTGTCTTCCCCCCGTCCATCTATATGTGTGTCTTCCCCCGTCCATCTATCTACCTGTCTCCCCCCCCGGTCCATCTATCTGCCTTTCTCCCCCCCCCCCTTGTCCATCTATCTACCTGTCTTCCCCCCGTCCATCTATCTACCTGTCTGCCCCCCCCCCCTCCATCTGTCTACCTGTCTTCCCCCCCCCTCCATTTGTCTACCCGTCTTTCTTCCCGTCCATCTGTCTACCTGTCTTCCCCCGTCCATCTGTCTACCTGTCTTTCCCCCGTCCATCTGTCTACCTGTCTTTCTTACCGTCCATCAGTCTACCTGTCTTTCTTACCGTCCATCAGTCTACCTGTCTTTCTTACCGTCCATCTGTCTACCTGTCGGTTCTCCCGTCCATCTGTCTACCTGTCTGTTCTCCCGTCCATCTGTCTAACTGTCTGTTCTTCCGTCCATCTGTCTACCTGTCTGTTCTACCGTCCAACAGTCTACCTGTCTATTCTCCCGTCCAACAGTCTACCTGTCTGTTCTCCCGTCCAACAGTCTATCTGTCTGTTCTCCCGTCCAACAGTCTATCTGTCTGTTCTCCCGTCCAACAGTCTACCTGTCTGTTCTCCCGTCCACCTGTCTATTCTTCCGTCAATCTGTCTACCTGTATGTTCTTCCGTCCATCTGTCTACCTGTCTGTTCTTCCGTCCATCTGTCTACCTGTCTTTTCTCCCGTCCATCTGTCTACCTGTCTTTTCTCCCGTCCATCTCTCTACCTGTCTGTTCTCACATCCTTCTGTCTACCTGTCTATTCTACGATCCATTTGTCTACCTGTTTGTTCTTCCGTCCATCTGTCTACCTGTCTGTTTTTCCTTCCATCTGTCTACCTGTCTGTTCTTCCGTCCATCTGTCTACCTGTCTGTTCTTCCGTCCATTTGTCTACCTGTCCGTTCTCCCTTCCATCTATCTACCTGTCTTTCCTCCAATCCATCTGTCTACCTGTCTGTTCCTTCGTCCATCTGTCTACCTGTCTGTTCTTCCGTCCATCTGTCTACCTGTCTGTTCTTTCGTCCATCAGTCTACTTGTCCTCCCATCATCTATCTACCTGTCTTTCCTCCCGTCTACCTGTCTACCTGTCTGTTCTTCCGTCCATCTGTCTACCTCTCCGTTCTCCCGTCCATCTATCTACTTGTCTTTTCTCCCGTCCATCTGTTTAACTGTCCATTCTTCCGTCTATCTGTCTACCTGTCTAGCCTCTATACATCTGTCTACTTGTAGTATGCCTATCGTCTATCTGTCTACCTGTCTGGCCTCCATACATCTGTCTACTTGTAGTATGCCTATCGTCCATCTGTCTACCTGTCTGGCCTCCATACATCTGTCTACCTGTCTGTCCTCCCGCCTATCTACATGTCCGTTCTCCCGCCTATTCGTCTATCTGTCAGTCATGGTTCACTTTGTGTCAACAGTCGGACGGACAAGTCGACCTGACCTACTTCGCCAGCGACTGCTTCCATTACAGCAAGAAAGGTCAACAGTCTGTGGCCGAAGCACTCTGGGACAACATGGTAGGTACACATTTCAACACCTTGTACTCATAACTGCCTGCGTGTATGTCATCTCTTGTATACACTGGACATCAGTTTCAAGTCTTGTCCACGTTTCACCATTTATTTTAGTTTTCATGTGACATGAACCCGGCCAAGAGACTAGTTGTTTCCCTTCGCTGACACGGCCAGCAGTGGACCAGACGTTAATAGTCAGTGACCAGGGGCAAAAGAACCACAGGAGGAGAAGCATTGACCTAACGGTCCAGATGATAAGTCGGCTCCTTTATGACCCGACAAAGCAGCCGTAGCCAGAAGCCAGGATTTTGACGATAGCGTAACTAGTATAGACAAACCATGTGTTCCTGCCATAACTTCTCTAGCCAAACCTTGTGTTCCTGCCATAACTTCTCTAGCCAAACCTTGTGTTCCTGCCATAACTAGTCTAGCCAAACCTTGTGTTCCTGCCATAACTAGTCTAGCCAAACCTTGTGTTCCTGCCATAACTTCTCTAGCCAAACCTTGTGTTCCTGCCATAACTTCTCTAGCCAAACCTTGTGTTCCTGCCATAACTAGTCTAGCCAAACCTTGTGTTCCTGCCATAACTTCTCTAGCCAAACCTTGTGTTCCTGCCATAACTTGTCTAGCTAAACCTTGTGTTCCTGCCATAACTTCTCTAGCCAAACCTTGTGTTCCTGCCATAACTTCTCTAGCCAAACCTTGTGTTCCTGCCATAACTTGTCTAGCCAAACCTTGTGTTCCTGCCATAACTTCTCTAGCCAAACGTTGTGTTCCTGCCATAACTTGTCTAGCCAAACCTTGTGTTCCTGCCATAACTAGTCTAGCCAAACCTTGTGTTCCTGCCATAACTAGTCTAGCCAAACCTTGTGTTCCTGCCATAACTTCTCTAGCCAAACCTTGTGTTCCTGCCATAACTTCTCTAGCCAAACCATGTGTTCCTGCCATAACTAGTCTAGCCAAACCTTGTGTTCCTGCAATAACTTCTCTAGCCAAACCATGTATTCCTGCCATAACTTCTCTAGCCAAACCTTGTGTTCCTGCCATAACTTCTCTAACCAAACCTTGTGTTCCTGCCATAACCAGTCTAGCCAAACCTTGTCTTCCTGTCATAACTTGTCTAGCCAAACCTTGTGTTCCTGCAATAACTAGTCTAGCCAAACCATGTGTTCCTGCCATAACTAGTCTAGCCAAACCATGTGTTCCTGTCATAACTTCTCTAGCCAAACCATGTGTTCCTGCCATAACTTCTCTAGCCAAACCTTGTGTTCCTGCCATAACTTCTCTAGCCAAACCTTGTGTTCCTGCCATAACTTCTCTAGCCAAACCTTGTGTTCCTGCCATAACTAGTCTAGCCAAACCTTGTGTTCCTGCCATAACTTCTCTAGCCAAACCTTATGTTCCTGCTATAACTAGTCTAGCCAAACCATGTGTTCCTGCCATAACTAGTCTAGCCAAACCTTGTGTTCCTGCCATAACTTCTCTAGCCAAACCTTGTGTTCCTGTCATAACTAGTCTAGCCAAACCTTGTGTTCCTGCCATAACTAGTCTAGCCAAACCATGTGTTCCTGCCATAACTAGTCTAGCCAAACCTTGTGTTCCTGTCATAACTTCTCTAGCCAAACCATGTGTTCCTGCCATAACTTCTCTAGCCAAACCTTGTGTTCCTGCCATAACTTCTCTAGCCAAACCTTGTGTTCCTGCCATAACTTCTCTAGCCAAACCTTGTGTTCCTGCCATAACTTCTCTAGCCAAACCTTGTGTTCCTGCCATAACTAGTCTAGCCAAACCTTGTCTTCCTGCCATAACTTGTCTAGCCAAACCTTGTGTTCCTGCCATAACTTGTCTAGCCAAACCATGTGTTCCTGCCATAACTTGTCTAGCCAAACCTTGTGTTCCTGCCATAACTTGTCTAGCCAAACCATGTGTTCCTGTCATAACTTGTCTAGCCAAACCTTGTGTTCCTGCCATAACTAGTCTAGCCAAACCTTGTCTTCCTGCCATAACTTGTCTAGCCAAACCATGTGTTCCTGCCATAACTAGTCTAGCCAAACCATGTGTTCCTGCCATAACTAGTCTAGCCAAACCATGTGTTCCTGCCATAACTTCTCTAGCCAAACCTTGTGTTCCTGTCATAACTTGTCTAGCCAAACCTTGTGTTCCTGCCAGAAAGCTAAATCGACATTTGGACTGTCTTGTTTAATCTACAAATCATGACGTGTTGTGCTGGCAACATTGAATCAACAAAAGCTGTATCATAATGGGAACATTGAATCAACAAAGGCTGTATACTTATGGAAACAGAGAATCAACAAACACTATCATAATGGGAACAGAGAATCAACAAACACTATCATAATGGGAACATTGAATCAACAATGGCTGTATCCTTATAGAAGCAGAGAATCAACAAGGGCTGTAACAAATTGGGAACAACGAATTAACATTATATCTGTAAGTTGTCTTTGTTTTTCTGGAAACGCGAGTCCTCAGTGATTGTCGTCAGTGATTGTCGTCTATGACTGTCGTCCATGATTGTCGTCCTATTATTCTCGTCGGTGAATGTTATCTGTGATTGTCGTCCGTAATTGTCGTCTGTGATTGTCGTCTGTGATTGTCGTCTGTCATTGTCGTCTATGTTTGTCCTGTGATTATCGTCTGTGATCGTCTTCCCATGAATGTCGTCCTATGATTGTCATCCTATGGTTGTCGTCCGTGATTGTTGTCTGTGATTGCTATCTGTGATTCTTGGCTGTGATTGTCGATCTGTGATTGTCGTCTGTTATTATCGTCCTATGATTGTCGTCCTATGATTGTCGTCGATTGTCCTCCTATGATTGTCGTATGTGATTGTCGTTCATGATTGTTGTCTATGATTGTCGTCCTATGAGTATCGTTTTTTGATTGTCGTCTATTGTCGTCTGTGGTTGTGATTGTTGTCTTGGGATTGTCGTCCTATGATTGTCGTTCTATGATTATCGTCGACTGTCCTCCTATGATTGTCTTATGTGAATGTCGTCTATGATTGTCGTCCTATGATTGTCGTCCTATGATTGTCGTCTATGGTGTTCGTCTATGATTGTCGTCCTATGATTGTCGTCTATGATTGTCGTCTATGATTGTCGTCTATGATTGTCGTCCTATGATTGTCGTCATATGAACATCGTTTTTGATTGTCGTCTATGATTGTCTGTGATTGTCGTCTATGATTGTCGTCCTATGATTGTCGTCATATGATTGTCGTCATATGAACATCGTTTTTGATTGTCGTCTATGATTGTCTGTGATTGTCGTCTGTGATTGTCGTCTGTGATTGCCGTCTGTGATTGTCGTCTATGATTGTCGTCTATGATTGTCGTCTATGATTGTCGTCTATGATTGTCGTCTATGATTGCCGTCTATGATTGCCGTCTGTGATTGTCGTCTATGATTGTCGTCTATGATTGCCGTCTATGATTGCCGTCTATGATTGCCGTCTGTGATTGTCGTCTATGATTGTCGTCTATGATTGTCGTCTATGATTGTCGTCTGTGATTGTCGTCTATGATTGTCGTCTGTGATTGCCGTCCTAAGAATGCCCATCAGTCATGAACTAAGAACCAGCCAAGAAGCACACAGAAGGGGGACATCGTGTATTGAACACAGAAGGGGGACATCATGTATTAAACACAGAAGGGGGACATCGTGTATTGAACACAGAAGGGGGACATCATGTATTGAACACAGAAGGGGGACATCGTGTATTGAACACAGAAGGGGGACATCATGTATTGAACACAGAAGGGGGACATCGTGTATTGAACACAGAAGGGGGACATCGTGTATTGAACACAGAAGGGGGACATCGTGTGTTGTACACAGAAGGGGGACATCGTGAATTGAACACAGAAGGGGGACATCGTGTATTGAACACAGAAGGGGGACATCATGTATTGAACACAGAAGGGAGACATAGTGTATTAACACAGAAGGGGGACATCGTGTATTGAACACAGAAGGGGGACATCGTGTATTGAACACATCTTCCCGCTGCGTCAAATAACTGAACAAAGTAATTAATGGAATAGTGCAGTTTGTATGACCTTTGTGGGTTTTGAAAAAGCCTTTGATAGCCTGCATTGAAGAATCGCTTTGGAAGATTTTGCGTCACTTTGGCGTACCATAGAAAATAGTAAATTTGATCAAAGCAATTGACATAGAGTTTCAGTGCAAGGTATTTGTGATAATTATTCATCAGAAAGTTTCTTTGTCAACACATGAGTCAGACAGGGATGCATACTATCCTCCTTTTTGTCAATTCTGCCATAATCTGGCTGATGAAGGAAGTTACACGAGATAGAGAAAGAGGCATCAGGTGGTGAGTCACCTCTGTTTTAGAGTATTTGGACTATGCAGATGACATCAGCCTTATATCAAGCCGTCACGTGGACTCTCGTGAAAAGATTGAACGACTTTCAACAACAGTCTTTGAGATAGGACTTAAAATAAACACCAGCAAAACTAAAGAAATAAGAAAAATTTCAATACACAAAATGATGAAGCCGTAGAGGAATTCGAAAAATTCATATACCTCGGAAATAAAGTTACTACAGATGGAGATTCTGAAAAGGATGTAACACTAAAACTAAACGAAGCAAATCAAGCGGCTGCCATGCTTAACAATTTATGGAAGTCAAAGGGATTTAGTTTGAAGACAAAAATCAGAATATACAGGAGCAACATTTTAGGAATACTATTACACAACAGTGAATGTTGGTAAATGACACCGGGATATTACACATAAACTTGGGACTTTTCAAAATAAATGTTTAAGGAGAATTCTATGAATATTTTGGCCAAACAAGATCACAGATAAGGAATTGAGGAGGAAAACCGAATGTGCATCACTGGCAAATGTTATCGAAGTAAGACGATGGAGATGGACATGTTTGCAGACTACCTTGTGACACTCTGGCAAAAACAGCTCTCCGGTGGATAGCAGATGGGAAAGGGAGACGTGGACGACCTAGGGAAACCTAGAAAAGGACAAAAGAACGAGAAATTAAGGAATATAAACTGACATGGGATACCATGGGCAGAAAAGCAGCAGACCGACAGCAATGAAGATCACTTGTGAAAGTCTTATGTGTCAATGGCGACATGAAGAGGATATAGAAGAACCACCCCAAGCGACGACCTCTGACTTGGGAGCAAGTTTACCTCCACCAGTTTGGAATCTGTTTGATTTAATTTTGATTTGATTCAAGAACCGACATCACAGCACTCGGGGTATCCCATAAGCGCTCCGTCCCCCTTCTTCGGCAGCCAGAGAAACGTTCTGATACTAATGATGCCAGTAGCATTCTGATTAAACATCCGTCTTGCCTTTCCTCTGAGCCTCGAACCAGAACCTCTCGTTACTACCACGCCCTGCATCAATCTCACCAAACTGTGGTAATCCATCTGCTCCTCCAAAATGTACACGCTCTCCCACAAGGCACTAACCACGTCTACCTTATCATGCCTCAGTATTCCACCAAGTTGTGCAGAGCCAGCCAGTCTGTCTGCCTGTTTATTTCCCAACACACCGGCGTGACCCGGTGAAAAATCCAGACAAATCTCCTCACCAGCAGAGCATTCCACTCTGCACGAAGCATTCCACTCTGCACGAAGCATGCCTGTCCTGATCTTCATCAGCATGCTTTCTGAGTCAATTACAATCATGATGTGTGTGTGTGTGTGTGTGTGTGTGTGTGTGTGTGTGTGTGTGTGTGTGTGTGTGTGTGTGTGCGTGTTCATTAACCACCTGAAAGCTGCAGTGACCGCCTCCACCTCAATTCTTAAGCTGGATGTTGTGGTATTATATGCTAGGCTCTCCTGCACCAAACGTCGACTTTTAACTTGTGCAAATAAACCCCAAGCACTTCTTCGGCCTCTTGACACTGAACCGTCTGTGTAAATTTTGAAATCCTCTGAGCGAGCATTATCTTGATTTTATTGTTGAACTTCCACTTCCATCTCTCTGCATTACCGGCTCAGTGTGATTATGACCTCACACAAGTCTGACTGTTCAGGTGGCACTTTGACCCACTTCTCTCTTCGCCCAATGTTCTCAAGGATGCAAACCTGTCTGTGTCTTCTGCCTGAGCCATCCATGACTTCCTTTTTATCAGACGCTGACCCTTAACTGCACCCAGAGCTTCGTGCAAAGTGTGGTCTGTATCTGCAGCTACCCTGATATATGACTTCGCCTGCAGCACCTTTTGCCTACCTGCAACCATCGGCAAACCAAGGAGGTATCGCATACACACCACTGGGGTGTCTCTGGTGCAACCCAGAATGACCCGCATAGCTGAGTTCTGTATGCGCTCTAGTTTGTCCATCTGACTCTTTGAGACGGTAAGCAGTCCCAGGCCATAATCCACCACTGACAAGATCAGGTGCTGATATAGTGTGAAAAGCATTTTATGTATGTACGTACGTATGTACGTACGTATGTACGTACGTATGTACGTATGTACGTACGTATGTACGTACGTATGTACCTACGTATGTACCTACGTATGTACGTATGTACGTATGTACGTATGTATGTATGTATAGAATCATATGTGTGTATGCCTGCATGCTTATGTGCATGATTGCGTGCATATGTATGTATACATGCATGCCTGAATGCGTGCATGTATGTATGTGTAATGTGTGTATATGTATTGTATGTATGTATGTATGTTTGTGTCTGTGTGCATTTATGACCTTTTGAAGAAAAAAAAGTTTGTTTGTTTATTTAGAATATATTTTTCTGCTCTCCAGATACAGCCAGTCGGATGTAAACAAACTTCGTGGAAACATGGATATCCAATTACCTGTCCTACAGAAGTAAGTAGTCAAATTTCCTCATCTTGGGTACTACAGACGTTAATAGTTATATTCCAACATCGATTGCACTACACAAGTTAACAGTCATATTCCAACATCTATTGCACTACACAAGTTAACAGTCATATTCCAACATCTAGTGTACTACAGAAGTCAGTATAATTATTCCAGCGTCTAGTGTACAAAGAAGTTAGTAGCCACATTCCAACGTCTAGTGTACAAAGAAGTTAGTAGCCACATTCCAACAGCTAGGGTTCTACAAAAGTTTATTCCTACATCTAGTGTACTACAGAAGTTACAGATCAGCACAGCCCTAAATGTGGCGCTAAGATCAGCACAGCCTTAAATGTGGCTCTGAGATCAGCACAGCCCTAAATGTGGCTCTGAGATCAGCACAGCCCTAAATGTGGCTCTGAGATCAGCACAGCCTTAAATGTGGCTCTGAGATCAGCACAGCCCTAATTGTGGCTTTGAGATCAGCACAGCTCTAAATGTGGCTCTGAGATCAGCACAGCCTTAAATGTGGCTCTGAGATCAGCACAGCCCTAAATGTGGCTCTGAGATCAGCACAGCCCTAAATGTGGCTCTGAGATCAGCACAGCCTCAAATGTGGCTCTGAGATCAGCACAGCCCTAAATGTGGCTCTGAGATCAGCACAGCCCTAAATGTGGCTCTGAGATCAGCACAGCCCTAAATGTGGCTCTGAGATCAGCACAGCCCTAAATGTGGCTCTGAGATCAGCACAGCCTTAAATGTGGCTCTGAGATCAGCACAGCCCTAAATGTGGCTCTGATATCAGCACAGCCCTAAATGTGGCTCTGAGATCAGCACAGCCCTAAATGTGGCTCTGAGATCAGCACAGTCCTAAAGCTCTGAGATCAGCACCCTAAATGTGGCTCTGAGATCAGCACAGCCCTAAATGTGGCTCTGAGATCAGCACAGCCCTAAATGTGGCTCTGAGATCAGCACAGCCCTAAATGTGGCTCTGAGATCAGCACAGCCCTAAATGTGGCTCTGAGATCAGCACAGCCCTAAATGTGGCTCTGAGATCAGCACAGCCCTAAATGTGGCTCTGAGATCAGCACAGCCCTAAATGTGATCAGCACTCTAAATGAGATCATCAACACAGCCCTAAATGTGGCTCTGAGATCAGCACAGCCCTAAATGTGGCTCTGAGATCAGCACAGCCCTAAATGTGGCTCTGAGATCAGCACAGCCCTAAAAGTGGCTCTAAGATCAGCACAGCCCTAAATGTGGCTCTGAGATCAGCACAGCCCTAAAAGTGGCTCTAAGATCAGCGCGGCCCTAAATGTGGCTCTAAGATCAGCACGGCCTTACCTTAGCTGAATACAGGGATATGTTCTAGGAAGCAGAGGAAGTCGAGTAATACTGAACATCACAGAATAATCACTTGTGTAGAACATCGCAACATTATCACTTGTGTAGAATATCGCAACATCATCACTTGTGTAGAACATCGCAACATGATCACTTGTATAGAACATCGCAACATCATCACTTGTGTAGGACATCGCAACATCATCACTTGTGTAGAACATTGCACATCATCACTTGTGTAGGACATCGCAACATGATCACTTGTATAGAACATCGCAACATCATCACTTGTATACAACATCGAATAGTTCGGCATAAAGAGCTTTACTGCATGGCAAGAAAATCACATCATTATCACTTTAAAGAACATCGCATCATCATCATCATCATGTGTATATAACGTACCACTATCACTTGTATAGATCGTGGCATTTATTCACCCCTCCCCTCTCCCATTCGTCATTTCATGCTACTTTAATGACGTCACCAGAAACCAAACCTAGTCTGTTTATCTTGCAGGAAAACCCCTACCTGTACACGGCTAAAAATAGCAACTCTACCCGGACTCAATAGCAACCGTTTGTAGCCGTTGCAATCATTAAACAGTCTATATATCTTTTATCTGTGTGTGATTTGTGTGTGTGCGTTATTGATTTGTATTTATGTGTATGCGTGTGTGTGCATGTCTGTGTGCGTGTGAGTATGGGTGTGATTTGTGTTTGTGTGTGGTGCGTATATGTATGCATTTGTGTATGTGTTTGATTTGTGTATGTATATGTGTGATTTGTGGGTGTGCGTATGTTTATGTGTGTGTCAGTGTGTGTTTGTGTGTGTGTGTGAGACAGAGAGAGAGAGAGAGAGAGAGAGGAAGAGAGACTGTGTGTTTGTTTAATCAACTACAGCGTAACTGTGGCGTTCCCCAGTGAACGTGATGGACAGCGCTGGCTGATGGACACCCGCTGGCTGTTTGACACCCGCTGACTGATGGACACCCGCTGGTTGATGGACACCCGCTGACTGATGGACACCCGCTGGTTGATGGACACCCGCTGGTTGATGGACACCCGCTGGTTGATGGACACCCGCTGGCTCATGGACACCCGCTGACTGATGGACACCCGCTGGTTGATGGACACCCGCTGGTTGATGGACACCCGCTGACTGATGGACACCCGCTGACTGATGGACACCCGCTGGTTGATGGACACCCACTGGCTCATGGACACCCGCTGGCTCATGGACACCCGCTGGCTCATGGACACCCGCTGGCTCATGGAGACCCGCTGACTGATGGACACCCGCTGGTTGATGGACACCCGCTGACTGATGGACAACCTCTGGTTGATGGACCCCCGCTGACTGATAAACACCCGCTGACTGATGGACACCCGCTGGTTGATGGACACCCGCTGGTTGATGGACACCAGCTGGTTGATGGACACCCGCTGGTTGATGGACACCCGCTGACTGATGGCCACCCGCTGGCTGTTGGACACCCGCTGGTTGTTGGACACCCGCTGACTGTTGGACACCCGCTGGCTGTTGGGCACCCGCTGGCTGTTGGACACCCGCTGGTTGATGGACACCCGCTGGCTGTTGGACACCCGCTGGTTGATGGACACCCGCTGACTGATGGACACCCGCTGGTTGTTGGACACCCGCTGGCTGTTGGACACCCGCTGGTTGTTGGACACCCGCTGGTTGATGGACACCCGCTGGTTGTTGGACACCCGCTGGTTGTTGGACACCCGCTGGTTGATAGACACCCGCTGGTTGTTGGACACCCGCTGGTTCATGGACACCCGCTGACTGATGGACACCCGCTGGTTGTTGGACACCCGCTGGTTGATAGACACCCGCTGGTTGTTGGACACCCGCTGGTTCATGGACACCCGCTGACTGATGGACACCCGCTGGCTGTTGGACACCCGCTGGCTCATGGACACCGCTGGCTGATAGACACCTGCTGACTGATGGACACCCGCTGGCTCATGGACACCCGCTGTGTCACGGACACCCGCTGGTTTATGGACACCCGCGGGGTGAGGCGAAGTCTGAGCTAAGATACTGTGTCGTTCAGTTCACGAGTACAATTTTTACAGAGATCCATGGGGATCGTCATCAAAGCTATTGAGTTCGTGCTTTCTGTGATGTTCTCTGCAGGCGGCTAGCCGTTCTGCGACGAGAGACAGAGCCATATGTGATGAAACCGGTGCAGTGAAATCAATCCTCTCGACTTTAACCTTAAACTTTAGACAATGCTCGGTTCTTTTATTTTATTTCATGCCATCTCGGAGCCTCTGAGATGTGGGGAATTCCTGGTGATGTGCCATTGTATAGGGGTGTTAGGGTTAGTGTCATAGGCGCTGGAACCTAGGAGCTCAAATTGTTTGCCACTTACTGAACGCTAAAAACAACAAACACATCCAGACAAAGAAAGTGACTTTCACAGTCGTTCACACACAAAATAAAGTGACTTGCACAGTCATTCACACACAAAAATAGTGACTTGTACCGTCGTTCACACACAAAATAGTGACTTGTACCGTCGTTCACACAAAATAAAGTGACTTGCACCGTCGTTCACACAAAATAAAGTGACTTGTACCGTCGTTCACACAAAATAAAGTAACTTGTACCGTCGTTCACACAAAATAAAGTGACTTGCACCGTCGTTCACACAAAATAAAGTGACTTGCACCGTCGTTCACACAAAATAAAGTGACTAGCACCGTCGTTCACACAAAATAAAGTGACTTGTACCGTCGTTCACACAAAATAATGTGACTTGCACCGTCGTTCACACAAAATAAAGTGACTTGCACCGTCGTTCACACAAAATAAAGTGACTTGCACCGTCGTTCACACAAAACATAGTGACTTGCACCGTCGTTCACACAAAACATAGTGACTTGCACCGTCGTTTACACAAAAGAAAGTTGCGCACTTTCGATGGCTCAACAGGTTGGCTATACACACGTTTAAATATTACATAACCTATCACAGCTCACAGGTAGACCGGCTACTGACCATATTAAATGCTATGACACAACCACTGCACAAATGAAAAGCCTTCCACATGAAAAACACAGCTCACAGGGCTGCACCAAGCATTTAACAGTAACTCAGGCAGCGAAACCCTAGACGACCGTCCATATGTGGAAACTGCATTAGCAAAGTGCTGTCGGAAGCAAAAGTAACTTTGAAGCTAAACATTCTGCCATGTCTAATCGTCCAATTTAGACCGGAAGTCTCCATTGCTTTATCTTCCGTGAAACTGACTATGTAGAGTATCTTGTATGGCGTTTTCCATGAGAGCCACATTACGACTTCTACTGGTGTACACTGAGCAGATATGTCCAACTGAACTCCCCCCCCCCCCCTTCTTTTTCCATAGTCACTATTTCTGTATAGCAAGACAGATATCAATGAATGTCAAGGGTCGTGTTGTCTATAGATTGCTTCCAACTGTTTGGAACAGGCAACATTTGACATCTTGTCTGAGTATGGCAGTGCCATGTCTTTGAGACCAGCTGATCCCTGTCCTATCACTTTGGCTCTGAGCCTGATAAGAGGCAGTGACCTAATCCACTTTAATGTAACCTGTGTTTTTGGCGCTAGCCAGACATGTGTCGTTATTGCCTACCTTTTACAGCAGTGTCACTTACTGTGTGGTAAACAAGGCGGACCCAACATCCACCCTGACATGTGTATACATCTGTACACTTACCTACACAGTCCTACAGCATCACAAGCAACACTGACAGATCAATATTTGTACAAAGAACAAATTTCCAACGACAATCAATGATGTTTTCTAATTTTGTTACACATATTGAAGGTCAAGAAGAGATTCCTCACCACCTTGGTGCGGTCAGTGTGCACCCAAACACTAAATTCTGTGGTCAGACACGATCAGACCACTGGGTCAGATAGACACCCATCTTTAAACACTGGTCTGTGGTCAGATAGACACCCATGTTTAAACACTGTGGTCAGACATGATCAGACGACTGGGTCAGATAGACGCCCACCTTTAAACACTGAAGTCTGTGGTCAGACATGATCAGACGACTGGGTCAGATAGACGCCCACTTTTAAACACTAAAGTCTGTGATCGGACACGATCAGACGACTGGGTCAGATAGACACCCATCTTTAAACACTGAAGTCTGTGGTCAGATAGACGCCCATCTTCTTTAAACACTGAAGTCTGTGGTCAGATAGACACCCATCTTTAAACACTGGAGTCTGTGGTCAGATAGACGCCCATCTTTAAACACTAAAGTCTGTGATCAGACACGATCAGACGTCTGGGTCAGATAGACACCCCTCTTTAAACGCTGGAGTCTGTGGTCAAATAGACGCCCATCTTTAAACACTGAAGTCTGTGGTCAGATAGACGCCCATTTTAAAACACTGAAATCTGCGGTCAGATAGACGCCCATTTTTAAACGCTGAAGTCTGTGGCCAGACATGATTAGGTAACCGGTACATTATAATGGGAGGAATAGAGAGAAGCGGAGAAATACAAATAGACGAGACAGACGAGAAGAAGAATAGTTAAAGGATGTAAGAGAAGATTTAAAAGTTCTCCTTTGTGGGGAGTGTAGAAATAGATCTACACCTCAGACGATCAGGTAATAGTCAGTGGGGGTATGAAAGAGTCTGTTATGTAATATCTGTATAACAAAGCAGTATAACAATTACATCAACTAAAGGTGGTACCATTCGTTTACTCAACAAACTAATGATGTAATAAAAGAATAACCATTCGTTTACTCAACAAACTAACGATGTAATGAAAGAATAACCATCCATTTACTCAACAAACTAACTATGTAATAAAAGAATAACAACTAACAATCGTCTTTATTAAGGAACAGAATTACAAAGTCGTACATCTCTTATTACACAAACAAGATCAGCTCCGATATTCCAACAGCCTGCCACTCGTTACAGCTAATAGCAGAATGGATTCTTATCAACGATAAATTAGCAAGTAACTGCAAGTAATCCACTTACTGCTGCTAATTAGGTACCACTACCAGCTTAGTTCGTATCAGCATAATAACTACTATCTAGATCAACCTACTAAATAGACAAAAACTACCTACAACTTATTAATGTCATACCAATAGCCATACAGCCAAAGACAGTCTCGGACCACCTGCAAATAACAAGCCAAATACGGACTACAATTTAGCCAACACAGTCTAATCATGACAACCAGAGTCCTTCACCTGTCAGATACGTTCAAAATTTGTCAGTTTACATGTCTATTGTCTAATCTGTTTGTCTCCTTGTGTGATGTCCTGGTGGGGTAGAAAGTCAGTCAGTGGCTTTGTTGACTGTGATTAACAGCCTGGCCTCCATAGAGATATCATCCCAAGCCTTTGAAACGCCCTGGACAGCAACTGCTTCTATATTCTGCACAGAAGTTAGAGCCAAAGCTCAAAACGTCTAATCTCGATGAACGCCGAGCTGTGGTGCAGCTGAGGATGCTGGGAATCTTATCGTCTCTGCCGAAGAAAGAAGGGTACGATTAATAGGCGCCTAGGCGCTGATGTACC